AGGATTTAATGTCTTACACATGAAAGGAAGATTCTTGAATCTGCTCAAGCATCAGTAATCTATATGAGTCGCATTAAAGAAAGGACATACAGAGACGAGGACCAAGACGACTATAAGAATCACCCAGCTTTCTGATGATCCTAGCCAAGATCACAAAGTTGGCTGCAAGCAGAGGAGTCGGCGCAATAATAGTACAGACGATCCTAAGGAAGATGGTCAGATGACAGGGAGGAAAAGACGATTTTTACTTACTGGATGAGAAAAGCATTCCCATTGTCAACGTTTTCGCTGGACCATATACGTCCTGACCATCCTGCTAGTTCAATCAAACCAGCGAAAACGGCTGTGTATAAGAAAAACCATTTCCGATAAGCGATTGCCTGACAGAGGTGGACGACTAGTTTGGAGAAAAGTGTTGTAGATCAGTTGGTGCTAGTGATTAAGAAAACGGAGAAGGTAGTTCTTACAAGAAGATACTCCAAACAAAGTCAGAAACAGGATACAGACAGCGAACGTAGGTGTATATCCATATGGACTCTGTTGAACTTGTTGAGCTTGCGTTGTAGTGCTGTCCCGAGAAACAAAGGAAGTCAAAGAGGTGAGGTATGTATCTAACATACTGGAGAAACAAATAATGAAGATTAAAGGACGAAGGAGAAGTAATGATTTGATTCGACAAGGTGGAATGCATCGTACTTATACTTCAAGAAGATTTATCTTTCAAACGTGAAAGCAAGACTGCGGAGAAACGAATAAAAGAAATGCATATCACCAGCAACGCCCTCGTATGAGCTCTGAGATCTACCTGCCGCACTCGAATTGCATTGGCACAGCGCGACTTCAGAAGCATCCCGACACTGTGTTTCATAAAACCGGTGAGCTGATAGAGAACACGGCAGCGCGCAGCGCGAAAGTCCACGCGAACTTCCATTGGTCGCAGTCGCGTTGCTTGGTAAAGAGGGTAGGAAGCAGTGTCGACATTGAACACAGCTGCATCGCTTTCCGAATTTGGTTGTCGCTGCGGTTTCCACGATGCAAGTCAACTTGCATGTCAATTTTGAGCCTTGAAGAGGTTGTTTGGTGTTTGCTCAACGCGCCTCGAAGCCTCTCAAAACTGGCAGATAGGCCGGTATGAGAGACTCAGGGTGAAGCGCTCGCTTAGCGCCAATGGAGCCGATTACACGTGGCGGCGTTTTCAGAGAACGTCTCAACTCTGATAGGATCTGTCACAAGCGATTATGAATACTCAAGGCTCATTTTGAATCAAGTTGAACCGCAGCTTATTGGTATTTCTCTTCGTACCAACCCTGAATACTAAATAGCGTCTCGTGCTCATGCGCTCGTCGTAGAGCGCTGGCTTCGTATCTGTGTTTCTCTAAAAGCTCTACTACACGAAGGAACCAAGAATTTCATAATGCATATACGGCAAGGATTCTGTCCAGAAGAGTGAAGAACTACTTCAACCACAACTTAACACAACTTAAACGGGCTCCTTGATTCAATCCATTCCATGTATTCAGAACTTTTGTTTCTGGGAGTCTAAATCCACCAAGAACAGTTCGGTACCAACCTTCACAGTGAATATACCATCCATCGGATCAATCCAAATTCGGAGCGTTCGACAAAGAAAACAATGGCGACTGTCCGCGATCTCCTCCAAAAGCAGCGCTCTTTTTTGTTCGAAATCATAGGGACTCGGGAGCATCCTAATCATCACTCAGTTGCTTTATGTGATTGCGTTGAGCTCTGCTCAATCATTTTCTTACTTCCTTTGTATCAATTTACGCCTCGTTGTCAGGATCGGTTCTTTCACATTTCACAACTTCCCAATTAAGCCGTGCAATGAGGCGGCTTCCCATCAAATGTGACGAAGATCAAGGGAGAACCCTCTTTATTATCACCCGCCTTCGCATTCAAACTTGATTTTCAAAGGATTTAGCTCCGCGCTAGGCTTTTTTCTTGCGTCTCCCCTTACAAGGTGTATGTCTCCTTCAAAGGCTTCAGGGCTCAGTGCGCTTTCATTCCCTTCATCTTCTTGCTAACAACCGCTCTCATTCAACGATTTTTGCTTTGATAGTCCGGGTCCATTGAAACTAAGGAAAGAGTCGTATAAAAACTGGTTCTCGTTGCAGTATGTCTCTACTCTCATCGTCTCCTACGAGTTTTGCTAAACTACTTCATCATCACTTTACTTCCCTAAACACTCCTCGCTCCGACACCTCTTTCCCAATGTCTCAATACGTCAACCCTCTTCACCCCAGTGTTCGCCCAAGCAACACCTCGACATACAGTAGCCTTTCGTCGGCGAACCAGGGATCCTATCCTCCTTCGACGTTCACAGCCCCGAATCGAAAGCGCGTCCCGCAATCACCTTATGCTCCGAGTGGGAAATGGCAAAGCGCATCGGGTCGAATGCAACCTCTCTACAACCCCATTTCCTTTGACTACAAGGGATACTCCAAGCAAGGATTTCCCATGCAGGAGTTGTGTGTACGTGGAGAGTACGCTTTGGAGCAGATGATGCAGGACGCTAAGGATCTTGTACTCGCTCATGCTTCACATCTTCGGAAGATTACTATTCATATCCGAGTGAGCCTTTTTTTTCGATCGCATTTTCCGTAATGAGACACTAAAACGCGGCTTCGTAGTGGCCTGGCTATGAGCACACTGAATGGACACGTTCAATCGAGGTTGTCACTTCACGTGGCCCGATTTCTCGTGCAGCTCTTGCACAAGCCATCGCGTTCAATTTTGGGAGATTTTTCGAGGTAAGTACTAGTATAGTCGAGTATCCGTGGATACTCACTCATCTTTATTGCTTCGTGCTACTCAGAAAGCTCAACTCGAAAGGCCTCAATCACCACAGTGGCGCATCGGTCATGGAGGGATCACTTTTGACAAGCTCATTTTGGTTTCCCTCTGGAATCCCTTCGAGGATGCATGGCAAGCCGATGTTGCGGTTGACTTCTAGTCTGCATGGCTTTCGTCTTAGGTTTTATCCAAGTTCACTTTTTGTTTGCGAGTCGAGTCTGCCAGTTTTACTATACATAGATCGGACCAATTCTCGTGTTTGTAGCGATAGCTAGCTCTGTATTGCCAGCATTCCGTAGCCATAGATTGTATCACTAGCATTTTCAGTACCTAGTATGTATCTTTAAACTTTTTTTGAATGATCTCATCGTTGGATGGAGCTGCTTTGGAACGTATATACTATATACTGCAGCCAAGTAGCTATACAGACCGCTTGGGAGACCATAAGGGATACTTTCTTCCTGGGGCGCCTGCAACGAAGAGCTACAGTTTTTATCGGATGCAACGACCCTCATTCAGCGCGCAGTATAGAATACTGATATTGACATATCATACTAGCTACTAGCTACATCCATCATTCTTAACGTTTTTAAATCGGTTAACAGCGAACACCTTGAGCAGGGCTTTATGCATCTTCCACCTATCCTCGACTCCCGCAACGTTCCACTTGTCATCATCGACTCCCATAATGTTCCACTTTGTCTTGTCTCCCACAACGGTTGCACTCGAGTCGCTATCCTCGTCATCGACGATGATCCAACTGTCCTCGTCTCCTACAACGGTTACAGTGGAATCGTTATCCAAGTCGTATCCGACTCCGACAATTTCTGCTTCGGTGCTTGAGCGTTGGTCTGGATAATAGTCACGACGAGGCCATTGGGCAATGGGCCATTCGTGTCCATGGAGCAATGCCCTTCGTTCAGGGCGTCCGGATTTGAATGTGTCTGCAGACGAAAGTCAGGTTCGTCAAGGAAGAATCAGAACGCCGCAGTACTCACTCCAAGGTTCACAGAACGCCTTTAACCCGAGTGAATTGGATCCTTGGTATACCGGGTGAGCGGCGTCGACGCTAGCTGAAACGTAAAGTGATGGAAGGAGAAGCATATGATGGTGACGCAGATGTGCGAAAGAGTATAGTCTTTCTTGCGTCGTATTCCTGGACTGTTCGCATATGCGGCTAACTTTTTCTGGAAATACTCTGGAACAAACAACTAGATGTGAAAATGTAGAGTTCAGCCAAGCGGGACAGAAGGAATGTAGAAGAAATGCTAAAAACCATTGGAGTTGATGTGAAGTTACTGTCGGGAGTGAAAGTGACATGGCACTAATGAGTTAGATTAGAGGCAACAGTGATACGATTCCAATACGATTGATTCTTACTATCCAGGGATCTTCGATTGCACGATAGCTAGGCATTGAAGGCTTAGCATAAAGGTATCGATATCTTCAGCACCCATTGGAGCATCCACCGTGAGTGTTCCTGCTTGGTTAATTTTCTCCGCGTGTCCCTGAAGTGGCCGCGAAAAACTCAGCATCGAAAAACACACTCGGAACACACTTACTTGGCTAGTAAAAAGATAGCCTGCGGTGATGACCATAGAAGCAGGAGACTCCAGAGCTTGAGCTGTCGCGGGAGAGTAGTAGTGAATGGGTGCAGCATCGGATACTAGCAGCCTAATCAAAAGAAGAAATACAGAGACAAGTGGCAGATCAGAAGAATGAATCATGTCGAAGATAGTAGCGGAGACCGGCTCCAACAACTGAGAGTGAGGAAAGGAATGCAATGCGATGCGATAAACAGGATCATTTTTATATGGGCCAGTTTCGCCCGGCCAGGGTGATCAGCAAGGCAATTGCAAATTCGTAGATACTAAGATAGGCAATGCGGCCGACGGCCAGCGCGTTGAATATTGCGAATTTGCGAAAGAGGTGTAGTTTCCAACAAGGTGCAATGCATGCATCATGATATGGCAAATTCTCAAGACTGCGTGGAGCATACGGAACAGATACAGATATAAAAGCCAGTATCAGGGACTGAAATGCATATGTAGGGGAAACATCTACGTGTGGTAGTGTGCTTGTGATGATAAAAATACCTCTCATGATGAGCGGTAACCTGAATTGCACCTTGCTAAAATTTAATTGCGGTGAAAAAATCACTCATTTCCCAATGGCAATTACTAATACGACGACGCCAGCAGGATTTGAACCTGCGCCCTCAAAGAGGAACAGATCAGACAATCAGACAATCAAATTCTAATCTGTCGCCGTAACCACTTGGCTATAGCGCCTCCGAAAAATAGTCAGAATAAACGTAAAATGATTACTTACCTTAGAGCTTCAGCGTCGATTTCAGGACTCTTGAAAAAAAAAACACCGTGACCACTCGGAGTCAATGCCGAATCCGCCATCGTCTAATAACTTTAAGGGTAGCGCGAGGCAACTTGAGGGAAGAGCACCCAAGGACCCACCAAAGCAAACCATCTGTAGTCGATAAGTCCAAAGATCCGACTCCAGCAAAAGCTGCATCGTACTTGGATCAGAATTGAATTCAACTGCAGCCAACGATCATCGGTTACCTAACAGTGGACTTGGTGAACCGGTGTAGTACGACAGCTTGGAGGAGCCATCAAAAGTGCAACTCAGCGTGCTTATTGGATGAACAAAGGTTGAACTTCCAGGTAGACGAATTTCAGGGAACCCGTCTTAACAGCCGGAATCCCAGGCCTCCGCCCCTTGTTCCAGTCCCATCCCCAGTCCCTCTTCCACTGGGTTGGGGAGAGATACGCGTAGGATAGAGATAGTATCCACCGGTACATCCCGCATCGATTCTGGATCAAGGTGATTCTCGAGTTCGAGTATTTGCGCTCAGTTCGCCAGTGGGTTAGAAGGCAGAGGAAATAGGAGGCCGTGAATAGTCCCCGAGAAGCAGGAGGCGTATGATTACTTCTGGCGGCGTGCAGATGAGAATGGATGGATTGGATGAGCATGACACCTTCGCGCAAACCCAAGACTGCACCGAAGGACCAACACAGAACCAATCTCAAAGCGGAAGTAGCCACTGGTAGCCGCTGAGCTGCACCGAACGACCAAAACTTCCTGCACCATTCCTAAACTCAATTCCTCGTTGCAACCGGCAGTCGCAAAACCCAAATCATGCAACGAAGTCTACGAGCTCGCAAGGCTGCATTATGGAAGCCAGTGCCTAGGAAGGTCCAAGGATGCTAGTACGATCATGGTCCTTCCTACTCCGTTGCTGCCAGTCAGAATTGTCAGAGTCGAAGCAGGAGGTGCATACGGAGAAAAAGGCGCCACAAGCAGGTAGCAGTCATTTGAGTTGGCTCCTGTGAGCGCTGAAGCTTGGCTCTGCAAAAGTCAACTTCGACCACTAAAGCAGAGGGCGTATAAGTAGGAGCATGAGCTATGCGATGCAAGGAAAGCCATGTCCTGGAAGAATGTTACGAATGAGATAAAGCGGCAACGTCGAGGTTGAGGTTATTTGCTGCGTTGAAAGGACTAGGATTAAAATTACATCTCACTGTCAGTTCTAGACTGGAGATTCAAGAACGTACCCTGACTCTGGATCCACTCTGTGCTCAATTCCAGGCTCAACGTATATCAGACCAGCCAAAGGCATCGTGATTCATCCACTACACCTCTTCTGCCCAATCCATGCATGGTTCCTCCGACTTGTAGAGTCTCCCGTCACGATTTGTGAAGGATTTATTGAGCAGCGATGAATGACTGAGAATGACTGAGAATGAACTTCATGGGCGCTTTCTTTGATCACAAGCGCCGACTACAACGCGTCAAAATTGCAGTTTCATTAGATCAAGCACTATGCACGGAGAAGCAAGTTGTACAAGTACAGGCAGTGTGGTCCACCTTTGACCCGGAGTCACAACCCAAGAGCTGCCCAACTCAATCGACACTCAGGGAACTTCTTCACATGCTCTGCAACCCGCTCTTTCATCCGGTTACTGATCCACTCAAGCATCCACTCCGAATCCACATCCCCGGCTTTAACCTGGGCCACTCTCTCTATTCCCAGCATCTCTCGTACATCGATAACATCTTGCTGAACTTTTGCCCGCTCAAAGTCCTTTTTTGAACGTCCATGGTCCGACCAGGCCTGAAGCTTCAACAGCACAAGCGCTATTAGAGGCATAACGGGTAGGCTCAAATCGCCGCCAGTGCTAGTGGTGGAGAGGAACCGAACACGGATATCGGGTGCACGGGGAATGTTCATGGAAGTGGAAGTTCCAGTTGTTAAGATGTCGACTTTACATCTTTTATACGAGGAAATTCCAGAAGAAAGCCCATACCACAAAACTCGATATGTGGCCTGGGGATCTCGTGGTACGATAAGATAAAAGTTTCGATTGGTCTTGACAAGGAGCTGCTTAAGAACTTCAGCGTCCTTTCCTTGGTTGTTCAATACGACGAGATCTACATCCTAGAGTATGTTCCAGTTGAGCGCCAGTCAAGTTAGTTTGTAGACTAGGTGCGTACTTTGGGATCCCGATTTTTCATTCCGTAGAGATGACAAGCTAAACTTCCCGACAAGACAATAGCTCATGCCATTTCCATGGAAGATAGTGATAGCTGCTCGAGCGACCTCTTGCATTTCATTGGGTGTAAGACTCGGATACGCATTGATACCGCATTATTCAAGTAGATGGGAGTACTCAGGATCATTGATCATTGGGTAGTCATATATAAACACGATAATGAGATCGTGACCATAAGGTTTCAAAAGATGTAGAGTGCATGTTGCGTTGCGTTGTACTCTAGAGTCTGAAGCCCTTCCATGCGCTGTGGTTATACTTATAGTCCTCAAGTAGGCATTGATACTACTTAATTGGGCTCCATTATAGTTCAGTAAGCGAGCCTAAGGCGAGCAAGAAAGAAAATACAGGATACACGCACTTCATTCAAGGTTACCGATGATGTTCAAAGAAACTTCCTAATACATTTTACACTTTCGAGGTTGCACTAACACATGATCAATAGAGATGCGGCGTTGGTCTATGTAGGATGCATAGATGAGAGGAAGAGTCAGAATAACGAGCGTCGATTTGCAAAGAGCACAGATGACGCTATCGCAGACGCCGGCGGGTAGTATCCCAAAGAGGTGAATCCACACAACGGAGACTAGGACGGGGATGGAGGATTAACCCAGAGGAATTGAATGCGGCGCAGAATATCTCTTGGTTCTTTGTTGATGAGTTCAAAGATGAGCGAAAATGTGGAGGATAGCGGACGTAAGATCGATGTCCAGAGAGTCCTGAGGCCTAGGGAGTAACAAGAGCTGAAGGATAGCTTCAATGTTGGAAACGCAGACTAGCACTAGACCAAAAAATGGATATGTAAGAAATAAATAACTGAAAGGCTGCCGAAGCTCAACAAGAAAAGAAAAAGTATGTAAAGAGATCGAATTCAAAGAGTGAAATAAGATCAGACCGATCCTATCTCTTTCCCTTCATCGTATATCCCGCCATGTCTTTGATTTCCATATATCGAAGAGCTAACTGCTTCTGAGCTATCCGAACCATCCGAGCTGGCACCCTGAGGGCGTGCTGCTGTTGCAAAACGCATGGACTGAGACAAGGAGAATACAGTTCTAGTATTATCTTCTTTATTGCTTTCAAGAGCCACCAAAAGGATTATAATAACCGGGTACAGGGCCTGTTGGTCGTTCAAGGTTGAGCATCATTATTTATTGTTAAATAACTTACAGAAAGGAATGGTAAAGCCGAGGCTATGAAAACTTGAAATGATAACAGTGTACTGTCGCCGAAGCCAGTCAAAAATGTGGCTGCAATCTAAGCCAAAGGCGTTAGTGCAACGTTAGTGAGTCGACAAGATGTCATCCGAGGCTCGATGAGCACTTACCCAGAAGCTAATGTAAACAGATCCTGACTCGACGAGCAGTGAAGAATATCTTTCTGAACTTTTGTTTTTCGAGAGCCACTGTCGTTCAAGATTGCGTTGAATATCTTTGCCATGGTACCTACAATACGTCAACTGATTAAGTTCACAGAACTCGAAGAATTCGAAACTCACCATGCCTTATAGGCAACCAAGGAAGTGGCGATTATGTTTGTGAATAGCAAAGGGAGATCAAGAACTAAGAACTCCTTTGTGCCGGCGCCGGACCGCCTGAAAATTTCGTAAAACATTTACGGTCCCCACTTGCTGCGTCGAAATATGTTGCAAGCTATTGACAGCAATAAGTAGAGAGGTTTTTCGACGATAATCCAAACCGTAGAACATTACCATAACAAGCAGCAAGGAGATGCTTCAGGATTAACTTTACGACTCGATGATGAGGGTATAATATCCATGTACGCCAAACGACTATACTGTCATTGATGAGGAACTGGTAATTGTCGTGAGGAAGAACTTGAAAGGATTATCTGAAACAACTCACATTTAGTCGCTCGAGAAAATTTCCAGCAATCTTGATATTTGATAGAAGTTGCATGGCCTTGACGGGATTTGCAGGATTGAATCCACCAAGGGGAATTTGAACAAGTATATATTCCAGGTCGAGAATGACCAGAGCGGTCGAGTTTAGGAACATAATTACTGTGACGACCAAGAGTATAAATCGAGAGGAGCTGTTGACGCTCCGAGCCCTGTTCGCCAAGTTAACAATGTAGAGATTTCGATGCTCCCCGTCACTCACAGAATAAAATACATCGCAATGAGAGTGAACGTGGCATAAATGCCGTAGAGCAAGAAACTGACCGCTGTTTCAGCAACCCATTCCTTCAAAGCATAGAGGTCTGCATCAGAGAGAGGTCCGGATTGTTGCTCTGAAGACATCGTGTCGAAGGGATGGAAGCGGATATGGTAGGGTAGATACCATGTCACTTCATATACTGGAGTTAATCCAATGAAAGATTGTGTCCACAATCCATTGGGTTCCTAGAATAGCTTGCTCTAGGAGTCTGAACTGAGGCGAGGAGACATTTCAAGAAGCTATAATAACCAAGGGCTGTGCGTTCACCACCAAGAGGGCCTCCGCTCCCATAACTGTATGTCTCGTACCTGGACATCGACTGCATCAAGGCTTCAAAAGCTTCAAAAACAGATTCCGTTTGAAAGGCAAAGATATACCCTCAGCCATTGGGCCAAAGCTGCAACAATCAACAATGTGGAGTGTGATTATCAGCTCTGTTTCAACCAGATGCACAGCGATTTTACCAACTTCGGTAATTGTGTCTCGTAAGCCACTAGCACTGACCAAAAATACGCGGGAAAAGTCCCAGGGAATAACAATAGC